TAATTGGCTTTATTAAGTGATTCATGAATATGGTAGCATCCCTTCTATTGTAGCAACTAGAAGAATGTTCAGAGGGGTTGTACAAAATGGAGGCAGGAGGGTATGGCAGTGGACTTATTAACAAAAGAAAATAATTACTTTTAGACAAGGACATATTTTGGGGAGAAGGGAATAGCAAGGGTTTTTATCAGGAAGATTGCCTCTTCTTTCTATGGGGGAGGTGGGGATGAAAAGGGCCTATGTGACAGATGACCTCATTGGTGTTGGCCAGAAAATTCCAAATTGGTTGATTAAGATTATGTTTCTGGGAGAGGTTGAAACAGCAACCAGGTTAGGTGTTAAATCTGGGTTTGGTGTCATGTCACTTTAACACAAGTGATGCCATTTTGGGCCTGTGGTTTTCTCTTATGCAGTTGACTAACCTTATGGTGATACACATTTCACAATATATTGTATATGTATATCAAATCACCACATTGTACACTTTAAATTTACACAATGTTATTGGCAGTTATATCTCAATAAAGCTGAGAAAAAGAAATACCATGGTATTAATTTAAAGATACAAAGAAACCACAATATAAAACCACAATTAAAGGAAAGAGATAGTTCCTAAAATTCAGAGAGTTCAACACTGATTTAAGACACACACACACACACACACACACACACACACACTTTATATTTTATTTTTTATTCTAAATTTTATTCTAGAATATGACTCTTCTAACTGTAAAACAAACATCTAGATCATCATATCCTTGAGAACAGAAACCAGATATCATTAATGTCTGAATACCTACAGGTCAATGGTAGTACATTGTAAATGGTGTGAATTAAATAAGTATTTTTATTTAGGTAAATAATTTAATGATAGAACACTCAAATGTCTTTAAACAAACTTTTTCAAGCTACTATATTTTTTTCTGGAATACAGATCTGAAATGATACAAACTATACCCAAATATTGAACCATGAATTCAGCAAATAGAGTGTGACAAAATTTTCCTGAGTGAGGTTTCTATTCCCCAATCCCACTCACCCTTACTTGTCTCAAACTATTTCTACTGAAGATATTTAGTTAAACCTTTAATGGACAACATGGGAAAAGGTCTGCTGACAACAGGACTGAGACAAACTCCAGGTGCTGGGCAGGGGCTCTGGACTGTGAAGAGATCCTCTTCCTGCTGGAAGCCAGTCCTGTCCTCTATTCTGCTTTAATCCAGGCCTGCGTGGATGAAGCCCCACTAAGTAGCTACTGACCATTTAAGTATGAAATGTATAACTGAAATGTATAAGTAGCTTACAAGTAAAGTAGAAAAATGGTTTCTTTTAAAGAAAGAGCAAATGGAAGACCAGCCATTGCTCTCAAGCACACCAGTACAGCATTGAGATCCTCTCCCCGAATGCCTGCGTCAGCCCCCATTTGGCAACACCTTGTTTCCCTGACCCTCTTGCTTCTGGCGCTATGGCTCGAGTTACCACAGAGGGTTCACAGATAGTAAAAAGCTAAAGGAAACTGATTTTACACAAGATTTATGCTCTGTAAACAGTGATAAATATGGTATGATTATTAAGAATGGTAGCTTGATTGCTTTCAGCTTTACAGGTTGCTTAAGAAACACTTCTTATTAAGAAACTCTGCTGGTCTTGGGGCAGCAAGAAATGATGAGGCTTATTTTAGTGGTGACAAGAATGACTCTCTTACACCACAGGGCCATATGGTACTCGTCACTAAGTTTGTGGGGATCAGATGAACTATGGTTTGTTTTGTTTGTGTGTGTGTGTGTATATATATATATATATATATATATATATATTATATAGTATAGTTTAATAAAATTGTTTTTTTCATGTTTCATTGCTTTATAAAGTCATACCCCATATACAGTCATCATTAAAACTCAAAAGGTTCCAATACTATAAAAGCATGGCAAAGAGTTATAGACCCCAAGGTAAACTTCAGGATGGGTCAGACTTAACATTACTCACTGTGGCGTGCAAGCACTAAGTTCTGTCTAGTTCTGCCTGAGAGGAGAAGACATCATCCACAAATGCTGTCACTTGATCACCAAACAGGGAACAAAAGCCTTTCTTGGCTATGGCACTCTGTTCCCTGGAAGGGTTTCTAACTGGTGGAGGGAGACAGTGAATGATCCAAAGGGGCCAACAACCCATAAATGGGCCCACAGAACATACTGGAACCCTACCTAGGCCAGGACCAGGAGACTGGAAACTAAGAACTGTTGTCAGCTACATGGGTCTTCATCAAAGCATAGCGGCACAGCCCCTTCCCCTCAATCCCTTCCTCAACGTAAAGCCCAGCAGAGGGGAAATTCTTTGGGAGAGAAAGGGAAGTTGGTACAGATGAAGGCTGTGTTACCTCACCAGTTCTAATGCTGTAGGCCACACCTAACTAAGAGTGTGTAATATGATCCCACTTTGAAAATGAGTGGTCCTATTTCAAGAGTAGAGCATCTTGGAAAAATCCAGGATGCCAACTCTGAAACTTTAACTAAAGAATGTGGAAGACGCACCAGTATACAGATATATTCTTCTTAAAACCTAGATCGGTAGTTTGATTTTCAAGTACCACACAAACACTTTTTTAAAAACTTTAATTGCCTAGTACAGTGCACAGTTTTAAAAAGAACCTACATCTTGAATGGGTTCATCAATCATTTGTAACCATCTTCATGAAACATAGTTAACTTGTTTTTTCTGGTGATATGAAATTAAACATGGAACCAAATTGTGTTTCACTCACAACACATAACCAACTAAACATATGTACAAGTACAGATTTATGCAAGAGCCAAGACATAACTATATTTAGTCTTTCAGATTAGGTAGATAGGGCCACCCCTTCATTCTGTATATCCCACCAAACACAAGAACAGCAACTTTTCTATATCAATACAATGATGGGCAGAAATTATATAATGAAAAACTGGAGGTTCTTACATAAAGTTTAAGATTTCGGGTAGAAGACAAAAACAATATTCCCATGAAGTAAAAAAAAAAAACAAAAAACTCCACGTTGGTCCAGTACTCCATGAAACCCTGAGATAGACTATAGTCCCCAAAGGTGTGTGTTTGGATCTGAGTTCACCAAGACCTTTCAGTATGCTTCAAACTGGCTCATCAACATCCTCCTGCTGTATTCATAAGCCAAAAACAGTGACCCATTGGCAGGGAACGCTCGAATCATTGAAGCTGCCAGTCCAGAATATAAGACTGCTATTCCTTCACTTTCCACAACACTTAAAAGAGTTCCAATAAATCTTGCCTGTTTTCCAGACATGGAAAGAACCTGAATTCTGGATTTGATACAATCCACTGGGTATATGACAAGCCAAAGGCAAACCCCAGCAATTCCACCACTTAACACCAAAGGGACAGGGCCTAGTTCATCTTTTGATCTCCCCGAGGCAAAAAACGATCGGCTCAGTTCATAGCCACCAAAGAAGAAGAAATAACCTGGTACTTCTTGAAGTAGAGTGCTCGAGAGTCCGCGGTAGAAGCCCAAGGGCCCATCCTTCCTAAGTATACCCTTCACGACTGACCAAACTGTATTGTGGTTTTTGACTATCTTCCCTGACACCTCCATTTCGTACATGGTCTGTAGCCGACACTTAACAAGCTCAGTGGGACACAGGGCCAGCGCAGCAAATGTAGAGGCCAAGGAACCGGCGGCTGCAGTCTGCAGATCGCTCAGCCTTGCCTGCTTGTCCAGCCCCACCACTTGCCTCACAAACTGTTGGCAGAAGCCGTAGCACATGAAGAGGACAGAGTTCTCAGCGACGTAGGCCATCAGGGCCGGGCCAGTCCCCTTGTAGAAGCCGCGCAGGCCCACTTGGGAGTACGTCTTCAGGCAGCAGTCGGTGACGCCTTTGTACAAGCCTGGAAACGTCTGCATCTTCACTTTCACCGTGTCGAAGGGCTGCCCGGTCAGGACACACACGGTGCCCCCGAGAGCCCCCGCGGTGAGGTCGATGGCGGCTTGGATGACAGGGTTGGACTTCATGTTCGCCCACTGGTCCGCTGGTCTCCGTGGAAGGCGACTCTCTGGCGCCGGGGACGGGTGCTCCTTGTCCCGCCGCCTATTCTCGGCTCTCACTTAGCAGCGGTAGAAGCCGCTTACCCCAACGCTAGGCCGCGGGGCCGCCCTCCCCGCGCCCCGCAGTAACCCCCCACCCCACCGGCGGCCTCGCGCTCGGCTCTCCCGAGCGCACTGCAGGCGAGGCCTGCCGATTCCAGCGCCCGGGCGCCGGGGACGCGGACTAAATACGTAAACACTGGCAATGAATCCAGCAACTGAAAGCTATTAGATGAATTCTTGCAAGCACGGAGAGACTCTGGACGCCGCTCTTCATTCGGCAGGGAAAGAAACGTTTTCCTATTCGCCCAGACCCCGTCCCGTCCCCCCACCCAGGTCTTCTAGGGAGAAACAAAATGGGGGCTGCTCCCAAGTTTATGGAGTCTGGAGTCAAATGAACAAGCTACACAGAGATTTAAATAGGGAAGACAAACGAACTATTGGGGGGCGTTTCACATGACAATCGGTGGCTGCTTTTGATCAGAAAACCCTTAAACGTCTCTGGGATGGGAATGGTAGCTCTGCAGAGGGGCTGGCCCCACATGGCTTCTCCTGGGCCTGCTCCTCACCGGCCTGGAGGCGCTGGGGGCGCCTGCGACGGGCAGATCTACTACTCCTTGCCTGCGGAGCTGGAGAAAGACTTTCATGGCAACATCACCGAGGATGTGGGGCTGGAGCCCTGGGAACTGGCGAAACTAAGTCCTTATCATTTCTAGAGGTAGGGCACGGTATTTTATAATCGGCTTGGGAAGCAGATATTTACAGATTGCTAAGAAACTTGATAGTAAAGGGCTGTGTGACTCCAGCGGTCCATACTTGCTAAGTTTCGAGGTTCTTGAGGAGTCCGAGTTTTATGCAGCAGCAACATAAGTCCGGGACATAAATACAACACACCTAGCTTCCAAGGCAAGATACGGTTTGGGACATCAGTGAGGGTACCACTATTAGGACACTTTTCTCCTCCCAGATACTCCTAATCCCAGTTAGAACGAATTCTCTTAAGGTTTACATTCTAAGGCCTAGGTGGAATTTACTTTGGGGGTTAAAAACCAAGTGGGTGAAGGGGCAGAAAGTATGCTGAAATGATTTTCTTTCATCCAGAAAGCTTACCTTGTGATTATCTTTGGCTGTCAATATTGAAAAGTGAGGCACTGAAAAGCAAATTGTGCATGAGATAGTTTGTCAACAGGTAGACTTCATTATACTAGTGACCTGGCCTTTTTTTTTTTTTTTGTGATTTTGTCTTTTAATTGTCTTAAGCCTTATGATCAAATAATTTACAATTTTGTGCTGATGGTCTATTCTCTACTTTAATCTTTCTAGTGAGTTGGCAAA